AGCAATCAGTGAAATTGCCTGATGTCAGATCTGTTCCAGATTAGAATCCATCCTTTTTCCCCACCTGTTCATTAAGCACCAAGTTCAAGGCAACGGCGGTGACTGATTGCGCATTAACAAGCTGTTTGTGTGGAAAGGCAGAGTTCAGCCACTATCTGCACCTACACACTCCTATAAGTAATTCCCTGATAATATATTCAGCTCTCGGTATCAATACACAGCACTTCTACCCTGACGTGTAATTTTGGACTTGAGAAAAATGGGATGCCTCATAAACAATCAGATTATAACTCAAGGTCAAGGCCGGGGAAAGAAGAGTCGGGAAGAAAATCTGTTGCTATCTCCAGTTAGGAAAAGTGGATAAGGATATTGCTATGACACTAAAATACTGAAACACAGTTGTGAAGTCAGAAGCCTGAGGGAGGAAAGGCATATTTCATTAGGAAACGTGGGACTTAAAATGGAAAGGGCTATTTCATCCTCTAAGTCAAGTCATGCAGAGGAGACTCACTGCACAGAACGAAGTGGTTTCCTGTGAGGAAACATCTTCTTGAGGAGTGGGAGTTTCTAAACTAAATGCCAGCATTGGACTGGAAAAGGGACATAAAAAGCTGTCTACTTATCTTCTTCACTAAATTTTTTTGCTACTTAAGATTTTATTTCCCATTTGTTTTCTCATATGGAAAACATACTCCCTTTAAACAGTGATACCCTCTCCCCAAATTTGGGAGTATTAGGGATGATCCCAGCACTCAAGTACAGTTTACAGGGAGCCACTCAGTTGCTATAACTGTAGCAACCTTCCAACTGCAAACTTAGAAGCAATACTACAGATTTCTTACCAGAGAGAGCTCATTGAATACAACTGATCATCCACCCTTTGCCCGAAGATTAAAGGTTTCTGTTCTCAGTATCAAACTTCTGTACAGATATCCAAGAATATTTTTCAAAGCTAAGAAGAAATGTAATTTCTTCTAGTGTTCTGCAAGTCATCCTCCTCCTCCCAATCAAATAAAAACAAGGAGAAGCCTTTTCTGCCCCTCACCTAATCCATCTTGCCCCTGGTAAAAACTCCCTCACAAGCATATTAGTACCTGTCTCCTTATCTTAGAACTGGGCATAAGATTTATGAACAAGCAGGAAGTGAATGAATACCTGAGGTCAGTGGTGAAAAACTGTTGCTTAAGGTATATCAGGTACACAGACATCCATGTCACACCCACCTGAAAATTCCACTCCTTCAAACAGACACTGTATATGATATAACTAGCAATGTGGTTTTCCCTATATTTATTAAAAATGCAGAGGAAATTTACTCTATCTCTTAGTTGATGCTATAAATATTGCACAATCTATTTTTCAAACCTTACTGAGGTTTTTTATATCTGGGATTGTCAAAGGGACTAAATGACCCCTGTCTCCCTCTCCTAAACACAGACACACCCTCTGAGTTATTTGGAAGTTGGCTAATTGTGGTTATCTGGCTTCCAGGTGCTTGAAGCACTTCTGGCATCAGGATGAAGTGACATCCAGGAATATTTAATTTGTTAAAAAGCCCAGTTATCACGGATTTATGCAGGAAGCACATGCCTCTAAGAGAGCCTGTTCCCATTCTTATAGTGTAATAACGATAGAGCAGAAGAGGATATGGGAGTAAAAATAAGATTTTTGTACAAATCTTACCTGAATCCTCAAAAAAAGCGGGAAGGACATGACATAACAGGATACCTTAGGCAAAACATCAACTTAAACTAATACCTGTCTGCAATGCAATCAGCAGCAAGGAAGTTTTAGGAAACCATTCTGGAAGAAAAGAGATTTACAGGGGTAGATAATTTACATTGATTTTAGCAAAGTGGCACATCGGCTCCTTTTTTCAGCTCCCTTCTCCCTCGCACTGCTTTTCAGATCTTCACTCTGATCCTGAATGATTTCCAAGCAGCTGTTTTGATGTGGTTCTTTTGACAATGAACACAGACACAAACTTTCTTCTACTGTTTCCTTAGTTGCTCTCTTTCAGCATAAAATACATAAAAATATTTTTGGGAAGTAAGTACCATTCAGTTTGTCTGTTAAAAGTCTAGGAGAAAAGGGGATCCTTTTGTAGCAGAGTTCATCAGTGATATACTGATATTTAGCTACATAAGATCACCATTTATATCTCATTTCCTCCTCACAGGCAGCTATTTGAGAACATACATTTTTTTGGCAATATATTTGTATCCAAATCTGGAGACAATCTGAACCACCTGGAACCCTTCCACAGCTCCAAAATGTTCAAGATTATTCCCTTAATTTCAGGCATGTTTAGTGGCTCACATAAGTCAACATAAACATTCCAACTGTAAGTCTCTTCCTGTGGCCTTAATTTGGATATGACTCGCTGTATCTTAAACTATTTATTACAGAAGACAGAATTTCTGAGTTCAGAGAGAAAGTCTCAAAAGGGTCTCTTCCTTCCGTTCTTCCTAACACAGGGCTTGAAACAGGTAGGAGGGAATCAGTCATTAACATGTGGGGTAGTCAAAAAGCATTAAATATAAAAAGAACTTGCACAGGTTTACCTCCAAAACTCCACTTCCTATTCCATGTTCGGGGGCTGCATTTTATTCAACTTACACACAGAAGCTGGTACTGTGACTTTCTGCTTTATCTCTGAGGCTTGGATAACTTCCATTGCAGAAGGGAAAATAATGGAGTTCTTTGCAAAAGCAACATAGGGTTGAGAAACATAGGTTTAGATACAATCTAAGAGATGCTCCAATTTCATTGAAACTGTTTGATTTAAAATGAATCCCAGTGCAGCAAGTGGATGTTTGGACAAATAACACGGATCTTGAACCAAAACACCCTCCTCCTGTAGCTTTCCAGCTGTCCTTCGCAGTTTAAAAGGTTTAACAGAAAAAATGTAACACTGAAACCAGGAGCAAATCAAAGGCTTACACTTAAAATTTAATTCCTGCTTTGACATACAGAGAGCATTTGATTTTTTTTCCAAGGCAACTGTAGGTTAGTGTTTTAATCTAAACTTATTACCATCTCAAAGTAGTTAATATATTATACACTTAAGGAAATATAAAAGATTACAAGAGAGAATTCAAAGAATCTCAAAAATCCACCTGTACCAAAGCCCTGCCCTGGGACTGCTGCTCCATGTCAGCCTGATACACCAAACCATCGCTGTATAAATAAGGTCCTTTCAATAAGTATCTCTGCTAAAATCTAATCTGAATTCTCTCAAAGAGCCCAAATCCAATTTAAAGAAGACAACAGTAGAAAAAACTTCTTCCTTTTTGCCAAAAGCCTTCTAGATACTTTCAGAGTGTCATGTCCCTCCTCAGGTTTTTTGGTCTCAGTTTGTACTGGTTTGAGTGGCCTTTAAACCTTTTCTCAAAATTGCACATTTTAGAGGTGTTGTTTTGATTCTATTTTTTATTTCTACTCAGAGATGCATTTCTCATCAGGATGGCAGGCAAGTTTACAGGCAGATAATGTCATTGGCAGTCTGGGATATTTCAAGCAAAAGGAATAAAACTCCTATAAATAAAGAAAAGCAAAGTACTCCTATTCCAAAGCTTATCTGCAACCAGCTCCAGCCTGTAATTCAAGGGAGGCCCATGAGCAAAGAGAAGCTAAATACAAATGGAGAGAAGTGTGCTAATATTGACTTACTGGAAAGCAATAAAGTAAGAAAGTCAGGGAGGGCACTACTGGAAAATCATCTTCAAAAAAGAACTAGGAAAAAAATTAAAATAGTAAAGCTTCCGAGGCCTTGCCAACACAGTGAGGAGATCACATTACATGGATGCTTGTTTGTAATTTAGGAAAGCTTTTGTGCATCAGCAAGCTAGAAGATTAATTAAGAACTTTTACATGGGAATACCAGCCTCAGTACTTGCACTTTGAAAGGAGCAAGGATTCTACCTGTGTTTCCCAAAACCCACCAACAGATCTCCACCGTTCAAGTGGGGAGTCACACAGAGAGAAACAACATCTGACAATCCAAGAGGGTCTGTTCACAAACCTCTGCACTGTGTGAGCAAACATTCCTGTGCTCTTTACAGACAGGAGCCAGTACCTCCACAAACAAAGCTTTTTACAAACACATCTGTTTTTGCCAATACAGCCTTGGCAATCTCTGCACTTTATTGCATCACAGAGAAGATACTGCAACGTTTCCCTCCAATAAATGAATCCCACCAAAAATTAGTTCTTGAAAAATTCATCAATGTCACACAAATACTAGGTGGGAAAAACATTTCCAGCCTCAGGACACAACCACCACGTTCTTTTTGGGGTGGGGAGGGCAGCCAAAGGTTGCAGAAGGTTTCCAAGGGGAAACCTTCCCACAGTCTTTCCCAAAAAAACCCCAAATCAGCTTACTATAACCTCACACACAAATCAACTAATTGCAGAGGCATTTCCCTCCCTTTGTCACAAGATGCTACACGCAGTTCTTCACCTCAGCTGCCCACATGGAGACAGTCACTGAGCAAGAAGAGGTACTAAAACAGTTACAACTCTGGAGGCCAGGACTAAAAACTTGAAAAACAGAATCTCCCAACATGAAAGCAACTACACAGACCACATAAAACAAAATCACATTTCATGTCACCTTGTTGTTAAGGTTTTCACCTTACCTAGCCCACAAATGGCTTGATTTATAAAAGCAGACTGGAATGTACTGCACCAGCTTGGTAAGAAAATTGAGCCTTCTACAATATGAAGTGTGAAGTCCCAGCTACAAGTGAAGTCAAAAGATGGATATAATAAAATTTTTCATGGTGACCACGCTATTAAAGTTTCGCAATCATCCCTGTCACAGTAAAGGCTCACAGGATGAACAGGTGCAATATAAAGGAATCAGGGGAAGAGGTCTATTTTCCAACAGATTTCCACAGGACACACCAGTTTCAGGCAACTTTTCAGAGTTCTCTCTTGCAGTGTGGAGCTATAAAGGATTTTCAAGCCATGACAATGCAAAATATTTCACCACCTACCAGCATTAACGATGGCATCGACCTCCAGCAGTGTAATGTCACCTCTATAGAGAGAAACTTTCTCACTCAGACTTTTCTTCCCCTGCACGTCTTCTTTAGTGCTTTCACCTACAAACAAAGAAAGCAGTAAAATCAGGTCACAAACGTGGGTCTGAGATCATTATTTACAAGCCCCAAGCAGGCAGCAGTCCAGTCACATATTGCTGTCACACTGCAGCAGCTTCCAGTTTCACCTCGAGAGGGCACCGATAACCCACAGAGAGCAGCACTGCCCTAAAAATCACTCTGCTTGCCTGCTGTTTCCAAATACAAAATAGTAGGAAGCACTGAATCCTTGCCCGCATACCATTTAATTACAAAACCGTATAAAGAAGCATTTTCTGAAGTGAGATCCATCAAATTTTATTTGGTAATCACAAGGGAGCAAATTGCAACAACAAATTGAGGAATTAGTTAAGATAACCTTCCTACTAGAGCAATAATTTCTCCAAATGAGTACAAAAATATACAAGCACTTCATTTGCCAACAGCCCCAAAATTCAGAATGACTCCTGTAGACAAACAGTCAGAAGAAGAAAAGCCTGAAAAAAACCACCATCAAATTTAAAGCTTGAAGCTTTGGCACCTTAAATTGCTCAACTAGAAGGAGGCAGGTGGTGAAGACACAACATACATCAGCTTTCAACAGATTTGTTAATAAATAATGTTACAATTAACAACTAAGGTCTCTTATTCTGGTAAATTCTTTAATTTTTGCATCACCAAATCATTTGCACCCTACTCAGTCTATAGAGCAGTTCAGTTACCTCCAACCCTTTTACAAATACATTGCCCAAAGCTTCACCAAGTCTTACACTGTTAGACATGCACATCATCAGCAACAAAAAGAGGAAGGAAGATTACTGAGTATTCTTAACATTCCTTTCAGCAAAAGTCTCAAGAGGCTTGAGTTCATCTACTGGTCAGAAATAGAACTCATTTGCTAAAGTGTCAATTAAAGTGGGAAGCAGTCTCAAATCTTCAGAACAAATAAATTTTGTTTGTAAGCAAAGATTCCTCAATATTTAGTGAGAAGGTAGAAACAGTCCAAATAAATTTGCCTCTTTAGTCTTAGCCCAAATGCCCATGAATTTGAGAATAACTGCTCAAATCTGCCAGCATTGCAAGCAACATCCCTGCCCTGGCACAGCCCCTCCTTGCTGAGCTCCTAGGGCTCAGACCCACTCCCAGTGGCAAAAAAGCAGCTGAGACAGCCACGTGCTCAGACCTTCTGGGCTCACCTTGGCATTCCCAGCCCTCTGACAGACAGGAAACAGCCTTATGACAACACAGTGTATTTGATGTCACCCCCCTCTCCCCGCCCCGTGCTCCCAGTGATGCCACCACCCTCACATTCCACTCTCTCGTTCCATTTCCCAGCCCTCTGATTTCAGCTCAGGGTGCCGGTGGGGGATCGCAGCAGCACCGTGATGCTCCGCACGGGGCTCTCCCTGCTCCTGGGGCTTTCCCTGCTCCAGGGACTCTCCCTGCTCCAGGGGCTCTGTGCAGCATCGCCCCTCCCTGGCACTCCCGGCGCTGGCAGCCGTCCCATCAGGGTCTCGGCCAGGGTGGATGTGCCTGCCCAGGCCCTGCAGCAGCCGGGCGCTGGCGCTGGCACAGGCAGTGCCGGCCTGTGGCCCCTGAAGGTGCTCGGCTGCGGCTGCTTGGCCCTGTCCCTGCTGGTGGCCGCGCTTTGGCTTGGATACCGCCTCTGGAGAAAAGCCAAGAGGCCACGGAGAGAGGTGAGGGATGGGGTCAGGCAGCTGGGATGGTGCCAGGACACACCACGGCCTGGGGCTGCAATGTGTAGGGTGAGGACTGACGGTCCCTGTGGAGAGCAAAGCCTGGGCAGGCACCAAGGGCCCTCTGCCTCTGCCCCAGCCCTGCACCCAAAGCCAGAGGCAGAGCTGGGCTCAGCCTCCTTCCTCCCAGGAGGAAATGAGGACTGGCTGAGCCACAAGGGCCACAAGACAGAGCCTGCCTGTGACCTGCTCCAGGCATCCTGCTGCCTGGGGCAGCCCAGCCAGGCCCCAGCTCCCCCAGAGCCCGAGCCCAGCCAGAGGGCTCTCAGGCCCCTCTGCCCCTTCCATCGTGCTCCCTGCCCTGTGTCTCCCAGGAGAAGGGCTGGACACCCTCGGCGTGGCCAAGGACCTGCTGCCTGGTTGAAGGTTCCCACCTCAGCGACGAGGGGATCGGCCGGCAGAGGGAAAACCCCGCGTCCCTCATGAACTACCTGAGGCACCTGCGCCGCCGCTGCCTGCTCCAGGACATGCTCCAGAGGGGAGGGAACAAGAAAGACTTGGATGAAGAGGCAGCACTTTTCTCTCATTGAGGAAACAACACCTGATGGGCAAAGGGAGCAATATACTGCAAGATTTCTAATCCAGCCTTTTTTATTATTAAAATTATTTATGAAATAAGACAGCTTTTATTATTGTTTTAAGTTCAGTCTCGCTAACAATTTGACTGTTACTCCTATGAGAAAGTAAAGTCAATGGTCACTAAATCATCTTTGCATCCACACACATAAAAGGATAGAGTTGATCCTGGTACATCCTTTTTAAAAATGTATGTTTTGTTTCAGCTGTTTTTGAAGACACACAGAGTGGAAACACTATAAATGCTCCAGCTTCTCCTCTTTCCCCCTCTGCCTCAGCCTCAGGAATATATTAGAGTTGAAATTCTTCACTAGAAACAGTTGATCATTCATGTCCCATCCACACTTTTTCCCCTCTAGATCCACCCATCATCTTCTATCCCTTTGCCTATGCAACCCAATTTCATTTAGCTCTTCCTCCTACATCACCCTTTGGCCCCAACATCTGAGTCCACAGAGCCACAGCTTGAAGTAGGATGAGGTTGATTAGCTGAGCTCTTCACACTAAATAGAGCAAATAAGCAGTCCTTGTCCTCAGCTTTGCTTACAACTCCTTCCAGCTCACCCCAAAGGAAAAGGGCCTTTACAACTCACACGTGGGTAGAAAAACACATTAGATTTAGTCAACAAAAACTGTGCTCGAACAGAAAACGTGCAAAGTTCTTCCAAACTAAGAGGAAAAAAGGACTGTCAGAACATCTCACTAGAGGGAGCCCCCAGCCAGGACATGAATATGCTCAGTTGGTGGAATGGACAAGGATGGTACAAACCTACAGCATCGGAAAATCAGCCCTGAAGCTCAGTCACTGCTCAAATAGCCGGGGTTTTAAAGTCTAGTATAAAGTATCTTAATCTTTGAAATTGAGGTCTCAGGCATCCAATTACAGGAATCCCCGCAGCAATACCAAACAGCTTACAACCAGAGGGAGGAGAAAAACCTACAGCTGGAAGAGTTTCTGTTATAAAAACCCCTTATATTTGCATTTTAAAACTACTCGTTAATGAAAGCAGAGCCCACACATAGTCAAAATAGGTACCAAAGCTCCATAGTATAAAGCAATACCTATGGCACAATAAAATGAGAAAAAAGAAATCCAAGAAAGAACAAGTGAAAAGGATTGATGGCAGCAAGGCTCAAAGGCTCACATAGTTATAATATAAGTTAGTTAAACAACTCAGATGACTTAATTTTTTCCTCCCTCTAGTTCATAAAAACAAGTAACAGACTGAATCGCAAGAAAAAAAAGCTGAAAATGGGAGAGTTTCATCATTTGTAGTCAGCTTTAGAATTCACAGCTGAAGGAAATAAATTAATTTGAAGTTCAAAAAAGTCTCCCCACTATCTGATCCCTACTACAACAGTTACTAGTAGAGATGTGTATCCCCACACAAGGAAGCCTATTCTAACAGGATCTGGAAAGAACACAGGAAAAAGAACCAGAGCAAGGGATAAGAGTCACAATGTGATCCCCAAACAAGAGCCAGCCCTTCCACTTCTGGGAGAATCCTCAGCAAACACTGGACTGGGACACTGCTCCACTTTTCTTGAGTTACTTAAAAAAAACAAAGGAGTTGAGCAAGCTTTAGGAGTGCATCTGACCACAGGGGAATGTGCAGCAACAACTCTGCTACACACTCTGTGCCTTTTCCCTTCACTGTCTTTTTGTTTTAATTTAAAACTTTGTTTTCACAGGTGTCCTGTACAGATTAAAAATGACAAGCTATTATCAATTACTAACCTCCCATCTAACACAGCTTTCTATTCCATTTGTTTCTGCACAGGCTTAAGGAGTTTTAGAAAAGACAGATTGTAAGACCTGTTCTATTCCATGTCTGCTTCCACTCCTACTAAGCGTGGATGATTGTACAGGAAAGGCAATTGCTTATCTAAATCAAGATAAGCATTATTTCCATATGTTCCATCACCAGGGGGAAAGCATTCACAGATGCACTGTAGTACTTCAGATTTGTAGTACAGATTTGCTCTATCACTTCTTGGACTTAAACGAGATCAGAACCTGAGCACAAGGAAGGAACATCTGTTGCAGACAAATCACTTCCTACCCAGCCAAAAACGCAGCACAACATGCAAGTCAAAGGCACTTGATGATGAACACCAACACCTTCTCTCTGGCTGCACACTCTGCCAATATGGTGTGTTTCTGCTAATTACAAAGTGGCATAATTGGATTAGCCCAGGACTACAGCCAAGTACCAAACTCCCGAGGCAAACAGACACCACGAACCACAGAACGGATGAGGTTGGGTGGCACCTCCAGAGATTGTCAAGTCCAACCTCCCCACTCAAAGCAGAGTCACCCAGAGCAAGTCACCCAGGACCCAGTCACAGATGAATTTTGAATATCTTCAAAGACAGAGACTCCACAACCTCTCCAAGCAATCTGTTCCAGTGTTCAACCACCCTCACACTAAGTGTGTGGTTTTGTTTCTAATGCTCAGAGAGAATTTCCTCTTCCAACTTGTGCCTCCCGCTCTGTCCCCGTGCAGCACTGAGAAGCGTTTGGAGTCATCTCCCTTACACCCTCCACTCTATGTTTATAAACACTGATCAGATCCCATCTGGGATGACTTTTCTTCAGGCTAAATCTGACCATCTTCCAGGTCAGGAGGTCATCATGTCTCCCATTCAAGGTTTTTCAGGAGGTACGAAATATCCCCCATCTGAGGAACA